TCGGGGGGTTACAGGGGGGCCTGCCCCACTGGGGTAAAAGAAAATCTGGGAGGTTACAGGCATGCCCAACTGTTTTTACACCCATAATTTGATATTTTACAGTTAGATTTGAAATTGTCTTGAAAATAATTGATTTGCGACAGTTTTAGTGGCTTTATGTGTGATCTGCAGCAAACAGTACAGCAGTTTGACCCCTGAAACAATGCATCTGTGTGCGGGAGTGAAAGTAAAAATTTACCCAAAAATGTGATTTTCTTTCTTTTTAAAGAAATTAAAATACAGAGGTATAGATCTAGTCTACAATCAACAGACACTGGTTCAAAAGTCAATTGTATTTTGTAAAATAAATGTTAAAATAATATTAAAAGACTTTGACTTTAATTTGAAGTTTGAAGAGACATGTATTATTTATATTATCATCAAATATTACTGCTATTATTGTTTGTCAAAAATGCAGACTAGCTGGCGCCCACGCATCTCCCTTGATTTTTTTCCCCCACAAATCTAACTGAATTTGAAAGCACGCTAACCGCGCTTTAACTGAGCAAAGGCCGCATTCTTCTTCTGGTTCAATCAGTGCACGTAGGCCAACTGGTCGGCATCCCGGCCGTAATCGTACAAAAAAAGGAAGGTTTGCTTTGTTTTGGTTCCGCAAAATCCGATGTATGCACTTTTTTTTTCAAAATAAGTCGGTAAAATCCAATATTCCATTAACTCTGAAGACCACGCAAGAAAAATATACTTCAGGATTAAAATGCGAATCGCCTCATAACATTACACTACACGATCAAGCTCGATATTTCCTCGCATCAGCGCCAGTACGGTGTGAGCACTGCCCGGCCCTTTCTTCGACTTCGTTACTCACACTCGCGCACGTAGACGGGCAAGGCATCGGAAGACAAACAATTTTTGCAGCCGAACTGAGCAAGGTTAGAGAAATTCAAGCAAAGAACATTTAAAATTCCACACTGTGCATTTGCAAATAATTTCAACAAAGAAAAGTCCAAATATTCCAACATTACCTCCAACGGTGCTTGACTCATGATTGTTGTTTACGTTTTCAAGCTAGTCGCGTTCTACTACTGTAAAGGGAACTTCAGCGTATCATGCTAATGTAGTCGACAATAAGGCCAACGCGTTCCCCAGATTTTTTCGGAATACTGGGCCAAACCGCTATGACTGGTGACTCTCTCTCTCTCTCTCTCTCTCTCTCTCTCTCTC